GTTAGTTTCACTCTAACATATTAAACGTTAGGCCTATCACATCTACGGTACTTAACTTCACACAGCTACATTCTCTTTTGCTGTCATCTGTCTATTGTTGTCTGTCTACTGCTTCTCGCTCGTCTCACGTTATTATATATATCGTTATTACATTGTCGTCTGGACACTTTCTATATTCTCGACACTAATTAGTTATTACCAAAACCTTCTACAATCGTTTGATTTTAACTCTTATTATGACAAAACTTAAAAATAATAAAGTATTCACTCACAAATATAAATTAATCACTAATATTTAAACCAAACAGGCTTTTAATGGTTGGAGACGGCTTGAATGGGTAATGAAGAAAAACTTTAATAAATGTACAAGGTTTTGTCATCATCACCTGATGATGATGACAAAACGTTGTCGAAACGTTGTACATTTGCTGTTATGTTAAACTTATATTAAAGTTTTCTTCATTATCCATTCAAGCCTTCTTCAGCCATTATTAGTCTCAATGTGGGTTCCTCGTCATCGCATTTGAAAACAGTCTTTTATATTATGACAAGGTATGAAAAACTATCTTAAATAAATAGTAAGTTTTAGGAAATTCTGCGTTCACATTACGTGAAAAAATAAACAAAGAATAAAAGTAATTTTTCTGACAGAGATGAAGCCAATGAACGGAGATCACTGATTCCAGGGTCTAGATTAATTCCGAAAGGTTGAACAGTGTTAATGAAGTTTAAAATAGTGCCCACACACGTTACTCTTTTTATTATATAGATATTGCTATATACATATGCAGCTATTATACTTCATCAAGCACTTTAGTAGTTTTGTACATCTCCCCTCTGGCTACTACATGAACCACTTTGGTAAAGTTTAAGTTATTTGATGAAACTATGCTCAGTAGTGATGGTAGTGCCATCTAGAAGCCATCAAATTTAAGTCATTTATATTTCAGACTTCACAAAATATATATAGTCACTAGCAAAATTATGATGACTTAAGAATTTTTACCTAAAAATATATTTACCAAGATTAAAATTTATGCTGTTACTACTGTACTCCAATACACATTCAGAGAAACCTGTATTTCCTCATTGATTATAGATGTTTACAGAAATTGATATAAAATTTAGCAAGTACCAGGTGGCATGCTCTGCAGAGTTCTCATCACTCGGCTAGAATATCGGAGCGATTTTATGGATACATTGGATGATCTCATATCAAGAACATTCACTCAGTGACTCAGAAAACAAGGAGTCGTAATACTATTTCAATCATTTTTCAATTGTATAATCATCCTGATTATTGATAATTCTACAGTGTAGTACATACATTATACCTCAATGCCACATGGTAGCTTGAAAAACAAGGAATGCCACTTTGTGTAGATCCACGATTATCCTAAATGACCGTGATTGAGGAGTAGTCGCAAAATGTAGGGATACCTTTTGCCAAACTTTGCTAACTGATGGCCCCAAAGACAAAGAACACTACTTCCTTTCAATTATTGGTTGCTCAAACTATTGACAGTCTTAGCTTTCAATCAAATGGAAATAACACAATGTAATGCATAGAATAGTGTGTATCAGTCGATAATGTGGAAAGCAAAAAATGTCAGTACCTTCAATCATCACGTGCTTGACCTAATGATTGTCTTAGTTTTGATAATGAGTCCTATCCCATATTGACTGGGAGGCTGACATTGGCATTCATTTTATTCACCAGTTTGACCTGGTAGTCCCTTCCGTTTCCAGTGACCCCTCATCTGGTTCATCAGAGATTGTCGGATAATCATCTGCAGTTTCTTTTCCTTTGTTAAGTATGCCCAAAATAGCTCATTGTTTACTCTCCAGACTCCTGGTAAAGGCAGTGCACTAAAGACTCATTTGTAACATATTGACACAGATCAATGACATGTTACACAGACTTGCACACTTAACATCCATTGTAGCTCACGTTTTAGAGGACCAACCTTTCAGAGTATCAACTATGGGCTAATCCATCCAAATCCAAGTTGTTTTTATGCTGCCAACTGGTACCACAACCACATCCAGTTGCCATGTTGAAACATCTGTTCTTTCAAAGTCAAATCATAATACTTCTTCTATTGACATGCTGCCAAAACAGTAGGGTACACCCAGTGTACTGTATTCAAAATCCTGAAACGTCATCGGACTACAGGAAACGTTGTTCCGGGAAAGTCTACTGGTAGACGCCGAAAAACTACTGTACGAGATGACTGTGTTTTGATCAGGTTAACACGTGAAGGTCGAAAGAAGTCTTGCAACACTTTATGACAGGAATGGCATGAACACATTCATTCCAGGGTATCCAGAAGAACAATGAATAGGAGACTGACCAAACAAGGTTATTTTGGAATAAGAGCTATTTGCAAACCATAATTTTAACCATAATTCACCACTATCACTGTGTTACTTGGGCAAGATAGCATGCCAACTTACAGTTAGGCTACTAGCAACATGTGATCTTTTTCAGATGAATCCTGTTTCCAGCTTGTTAAAGCTGATGGTAGGATTCGTGTTCGTCGTTTGTTGGAGAACAGATTAGTGAAAACTATCTTTCTCACAGGGAACACACAGAACAGTCGAACAATTTGACGCCCTACAACCTCTGACACGTGAAGAGGCTTGACTCTAGACCAAGTACAATGAAACTGTCTGTCTGAACAAAGCGTTTATCTGTTTTGAAAAATATTACACCAAAACGCACATTTTTTATACAAAATAGGTGTTTATGTGTAGTTTGGCAAACAAATGCTCAAACTGACTTATACAGACCAGAATAACAATTCGTACATGTTTGTCTGATCACACGCTACCTTCTCTGTTACTACTCAGGCATTTAATGAATAAGTACTCCATGTACATTGACAATAACGTGAATATAGAAGAGTATGCAAACATTTTGGCCAAGATTGTACTTAACTTTTGATTTTGTCTTCTTTATTTTTTGCAACAGGAATTATGTAGTCATACCATGTCACATTGATGAAATTTAGTCTTATTAGTATTAAATCATAGCGACTTTTCATTTTAAGTCAAGATTATTTAAGTATTTCCTGGGTAAAATTATTTATGACATCTTTATTCTTAAGACCCACGAGAACTCTTCCGACCATAAATTCCTCAGGATATTCCATAGTGTTTGGTTCCACTACACCTGAGTCACTAGATAATTTAATTCCTAATAACTCTTGGTATAAGCATTTCACTTCTTGGTGGTACATTGAATCTTCACACGCTGATTACTTATAGTTATGATGTACTCTTTGTCTCTAAATACTACTTGAAATTATTATACTCTAGACGCCATCGAGGTGATGAGCTCCCACTGGCAAACCTCTTAACTGAAACATCAAAAATACAGCTTACAGCAATTGCTTTCGTAAATCGGTAGGCCACAATGGTTCTGAATCATCAGGGTTAATAAGTATGTAGACGGATTTTCTGCAAGTGAAAGTTTGTAAACGCCCTGTTGCGTCAGCGAGTCACATGACTAGTGTGACGCCACGTTTCTAGAACTATCCTGTACCTTGGCGAATGCTCTAGCGTTTACTAGATATAGGGTAGTCTGGTATATAAAAGAGGGTGACAACGTGACGGGACAAGAATGTGTGTGTGTAGATAGTGAGTAATTGAACTGCAGTCACAGGGTATTGTTGAAGTTAACGTTCGTTCGTTATAGTGTTTGTTTTAGCGAGAATATTGAAATTAAGTGTATCGTAAAGTTATATTCGGAAAGAATAAACCAGTTTTATTAAGTAAAGACTTGTGTCGTTAAAGTTTCGTCGGAACGAAGTTACGGAAAGTTAATTAACAAACGGAGACGTAACAGCCCTATAAGCGCGTGTATTCGAAAAAGTTTGAAAATTTCGGTAAACTAAACATTTTACGTTTCTAATCAAAGAGAGAAAGAACATATTGTTACCACAGCAGAAGTTACGCGACGCTGGTAGCATGCGCGCTGGAGTTTCTAAAAGGATCGGGGAACCTCACGAATATCCCAGTATTTGCTAGACGCCCTCTTTTTTAGTATATAAGCCAAAGATAGATTGAAGAGAAATGATTGATAATTGAGTCAAGCAAACAGTAGGCACCTTAAGTAAAGTGTGCGAATCGCTGTGAATTATAGCGTGTGTTAATAAAAATAGTTAAATTAAAGTCACTGTGGAAATTCTGTATATTGCAAAGTTGTATCCAGAAAGAATAAACTAGTTTTAATTAAGAAAGGACTTGTATCGCTGAAGTTTCTCGCAAATAATTTTTACGGGAAATTAACAAACAAGCAGATATGTAACAAATTTGTGTCAGAAGTGGGATAAAAAAAAAGAAGAAGATGG